TATAGAACATCTCATTGACTTAGAGTCGAAATATTCTAAACTTTACAACAAACACAAAAAGTTGAAAGGAAAACAAAAACAAATGGCATATGATATTTATGAAGATGTTGACGACACAACTGTTCCTGCAAGTGAAGTAAAGTCAGAGGAACCGAAAAGTGACGAAAAACCGATAGAAGAAGAAAAACCAAAAACTGAAGATAAACCAAAACCAAAGTTTAGTTTCCAAACTAAACCAAGTCAACCTTCATTAGCTGGTATGGGTTGGCGTCAAAGACTTATGGCAGCAGGTGGTTATGTAAAGTAAAGAAAAAAATATTTTTTTATTTTTATAAAAATGCCCCCATATAGAATGGATAGAAAATCTGCTAGAATAAAAGCAGAGTTGGAAAACTTGTTTGTTAGATGAGAAATATGAAATGGCATACCATTTTAAAACAATATATTTTTACATATATTAAATGCTTCAGGTTGAAAAACAAAGAACAAAAGTAGCAGATACAAAACCGTTAGACTATATCTTTACAAATGCTGGTAGGACTATTTCAGATGAAGAAATTTCATCCCGAGTATACAGGTTTGACTATCCAATTCGTTGGCTTCAAAGTCCTTCAGATGCAAAGGCAATAGGATTTAGAAGAGTTTTGTTTTCAAATAGAACTAACGCATTTATGTTCGCAGTATATTTCATGGGCAGTATAAAGGTTCTGATGGTCTAATAGACAAATTTGACGAAATGAGAATCTTTACAGTTCGTTCAGACGAAAGTCTTGAGAAAACTCTAAATGACTTTCAAACTCAAATGAACAAATATTATTGGGAATTTCAAGAAAAATACGACTCTTTACTAAATGGAACATACTATCTGAAACTAGAATATGACAAGATGAACTCCACCGTTTCATTTCAAAAGATTGAAATTAACCCTCCAAGAGATACAGAGTTTTTATTTTGGAAAGTAGACAAACGTTCTTGGGCACAATTTCTTCGGTTACTAAACCAGAACGAACCATTACCACCAGATGGTCCATTTAAATTTATACTTCCACCAGCAGATTTGACAGTTTATAGAAACGTGTTTGACCCTCAAAATGTTATGTGTCATGCAAGTTTCAGTTCAAGCAACAATAGTTTTCTATGTATTGGTAAGGACTTTTATGACTTTGCTTCTAAATTCTACGAACCACCTAGTAACAGTTTCTCTGACTTTCAAGTTTGGTTCACAACAAATGGTGTGCAACATATTATTCCATTGTACTATGACTTTTATCTCGAATTGTCTTTCATATATAACTACGGAAAAGTGCTGAAAAAGTATTGAATGTGAAGATATTAGAAAATAACATTTTTTCTAACATCGTAGAAAACTCATGAAAACAATTTATTTTTGACACTTTCACAAAAAACATAAAAAAGTGAAGTTAAACGTTAAGGTTTACTGAACTGGTTGGATGTCGCCTTCACAGGTTATGTAGAATGGTTGACCCGAGAAGTGGAACAGTGCTCTGAGAATTTGTATAATTCGTGGAATTGGACTCTCTCTGTTTGGAAGTAGTATCCAAGGACGTTTGTTTAGGAACTTAACACGAGCTTCTTTCTTTGCTTGCTTTATGTCGTCGAAAGGAGTGTTTTCTGGTATTTGAATTGGAATTCCAGTCGAAGTCTCGAGATTCAGCGCACCTCTTCCAGACAACCAGCAGCCGAGGGACTTGTTGGCTTTGTCCTTGCCCAAGTACTGCTTAACAACTTCATTTATCTCTATAAGGTAAATTGCCTCATCTAATGGCTCGATGTTGTCCATTGTTCTGTTTCAGAACTAGTCTTGTACTTTTTCAGAACAATACTTGTACTGTTTCAGAACTAGTCTTGTACTGTTTCAGAACAATACTTGTACTTTTTCAGAACAATACTTGTCCTTTTTCAGAACAAATTTCCCGTAAAAGCTCTCAATTTGTGAGAAAAATTTTCTGTTTCAGAACAATACTTGTACTTTTTCAGAACAATACTTGTACTTTTTCAGAACAATACTTGCACTGCTTCAGAACAATACTTGTACTTTTTCAGAACAATACTTGTACTGTTTCAGAACTAGTCTTGTACTGTTTCAGAACAATGTCCGACGTACCACCAACCCAGTCCATTCCCAAACCAGAGGAACCTAAAGCACCAGCCCCTGCACCTCAGTTCCAGCAAGTACCTCCGATTTACTACCAATTTCCACCTCAAGGTTACTACCCACCACAAGGCTTCCCGAACTACCCTCCTCTGCCTATGCCTTACTTCCCCAACCCTTGGATGTTCCAGCAAGCTCCACCTCAGCAATTCCAATCTCAATCCAAATCGAAGAGAGACCAAGAGTTCGAAGAAGGTCTGAACCGTTTACGCAAAGAGTATGCTACAGCTCCAATTGAGAGAAAGTTGTTCCCGGACCAAAAATATAATTTAGGGTAGAAGGTTAGATCTCACCTGTTTTTTCACCTCTTTTTCACCCTCTTGAATTTGTCATGACTTCTTCGTAAATGTTTTGTCAAGACTTCTTCGTAAATGTTTTGTCAAGACTTCATCGTAAATGTTTTGTCAAGACTTCTTCGTACATGTTTTGTCAAGACTTCTTCGTAAATGTTTTGTCAAGACTTCTTCGTAAATGTTTTGTCATGACTTCTTCGTAAATGTTTTGTCATGACTTCTTCGTACATGTTTTGTCAAGACTTCTTCATCGTAATGAGCGTAAAGGACCCAAAAATAATGTTTAGGTGAAGTGGTGCGATCTCACCTGTTTTTTCACCTCTTTTTTTCACCTCTTGAATTTTCATGAATTTCCTTAAGATAGAAAAAATAAAGTTAGTTTTATTTTTTTATTTTGTATGTTAGATATGATTTCAGGGATTTTTTTGACGAAGTGTTACTCTTCACTTCGTCAAAAAATAACAGTTATCTAATGAAAAAGTGTCATTTTTTTCACCCTCTTGAATTTTCATGACTTCTTCGTAAATGTTTTGTCAAGACTTCTTCGTACATGTTTTGTCAAGACTTCTTCGTAAATGTTTTGTCATGACTTCTTCGTAAATGTTTTGTCGAAACTTCATCGTACATGCTTTGTCAAACATGAACGTAAATGTTTTGTCAAACATGAACGTAAATGTTTTGTCAAGACTTCTTCGTAAATGTTTTGTCAAGACTTCTTCGTAAATGTTTTGTCAAGACTTCTTCGTAATGAGCGTAAAGGACCCAAAAATAATGTTTAGGTGAAGTGGTGCGATCTCACCTGTTTTTTCACCTCTTTTTTTCACCTCTTGAATTTTCATGAATTTTCCCGAAATAAAAAATAACAGTTATCTAATGAAAAAGTGTCATGACTTCTTCGTAAATGTTTTGTCATGACTTCTTCGTAAATGTTTTGTCATGACTTCTTCGTAAATGTTTTGTCAAAACTTCTTCGTAAATGTTTTGTCAAGACTTCTTCATGAATGTTTTGTCAAGACTTCTTCGTAAATGTTTTGTCAAACATGAACGTAAATGTTTTGTCATGACTTCTTCATCGTAATGAGCGTAAAGGACCCAAAAATAATGTTTAGGTGAAGTGGTGCGATCTCACCTCCTTTTTCACCTCTTTTTTCACCTCTTGAATTTTCATGAATTTTCCCGAAATAAAAAATAAAGTTAGTTTTATTTTTTTATTTTTTTTTATTTTGTATAAAAAAATAAAAATGTCAACAATCGGCACAACAACACTTCAAACAACAACAGCACCAAACTCGTTAGTCATGAATCCAACATCTATGTTAGTAGAGATGAAAAGCTTCATTCCTTCTTCATATACTTTCGAAACAGAAATCCAGAAGATAAAGCAAGAACTTTTAACATGTAATTTAGACTGTAGTGCGAAAGATGAAACAAATGAAGAATATCTTTATGAAATGCAGGACATTATTGACCATTTACCCAAATTGCCTGAAATCCAACAACAAAAGCTCACTATTCCTGAATTCGATGAAATAGAAGTCAAAGCAACTGACTCAGTAGAAATAAAGAAGTTCATACGAAAGGTAAACTATGAGTTTCTAGGATTTCATTGCAACCATAAGGTTATGGACAAAGATTGCGACATGGTATATAAGAACATCTCTGACATATATAAATCTGAAGAATTTAAGACCTACGACAACTTTGTTTCGTTAGTTGCTGAATGTGTATGGCAGATAAGAGATGAAGATAGAAGAGGCAAGGTATGGAACAAACAGATAAAACCAGCAACTTTTGAGTTAAAGAAAACCATTGACGCTTTAGTTGTTTTAGCAGGTAAGGTTTCAGAATATAACGCAAAAATGAACCCGCAATGTTCTAAATGTAAAGCAGCAATGAGGAAATATAACTACTCCGTCAAAGAGATAGAACGTATGAGAAACGACTATGCAGACTTAAAGAAAGAAGCAGAAAAACCAGCAGAAGATAAAATGGACATGTTAGAATTTCTGAACAAAAACTATCCAACAGCAGAAGATTTCCTTCTATCTGACGTCAAGAAGAAATATAAAGAAACTTTCGGTATCGTTAAAACTTTTGACATACTGACAGAAGAAATAGAAGCTACGAAACTGTTTAGGATTTCAAATATACATCGTACAATTCATGTAAAACGGTTGTGAAAAAACAGGTGAGAAAACAGGTGAGATCTCACCTCTTCACCTAAACATTATTTTTGCTGAAAAATGACCAAATTTCATGAATTTCCTTAAGACAGAAAAAATAAAGTTAGTTTTATTTTTATTTATTTTTTTATTTTGTATGTAAAGACATATATGACAAACATTGAGTTTGAAACAGTTAAAAAGATAGACAATGACACCAAATTGGTTAGAATAGGTGATTTAAACGTAAGATACTCAAAGAAATACAACAAATATTCTTTGTCAGACATTTTATCTCCATCTGGAAAGAGACCGCAGGACTGGGTTAGAATTGCTTCTAGTCAGAAAATTTTGACAAGAAATCCTGAGCTTATGATATCGGTAGCATTTCATGGAACAAGAGCATATCTTATAGACAAAAGTCTTATACCAATAGTTTTGTTATGGTTAGACCCAGTTGTTGGATATAACTTCATAACATATGGTTCATTCGATACGGAACGTTGCAGTGAAGGCTTACTTTACATCGTTCAGAAACCGAAGGACTTCAATACAAAAAGATATAAGATAGGAAGGACATATAATATAACTCTAAGATATGACTCTACAGTCAATAGAGTCAAGGTTGTGTTTGTTAATGATATGAGAGCTGCTGAAACAGAACTACTTGAAAAGTTTGAGAAAATGTATGGTGCTCCCACGAAAGGTAAAGAAACGTTTGAAGTAGATGAGATAGATAAAGCTATAAAATTATTTGACGAAGTTGCTGAAAAATACATGTAAAGCGTTTATTTTTGGTCTTTTGTGAAAGTCAGAAAATAAAGTTAGTGTCATTTTTTTGTATTTTTTTGTATGTAAGATATGATTTCAGGGATTTTTTTGACGAAGTGTTACTCTTCACTTCGTCAAAAAATAACAGTTATCTAATGAAAAAGTGTCATTTTTTTGTATTTTTTTGTATGTAAGATATGATTTCAGGGATTTTTTTGACGAAGTGTTACTCTTCACTTCGTCAAAAAATAACAGTTATCTAATGAAAAAGTGTCATTTTATTTTTTTATTTTGTATGTAAGATATGATTTCAGGGATTTTTTTGACGAAGTGTTACTCTTCACTTCGTGTCATAATGTAAAAATAACGTTTACCATGTAAAACGCTTGTGAAAAAACAGGTGAAAAAACAGGTGAGATCGCACCTCTTCACCTAAACATTATTTTTGCTGAATTCAGCACAAAAATCTGAGTAAAATGGCATAAGATTGCTACCCTCGAAAAACCGAGAGAAGAGATTCCGTACGAAAACAGTGAAGAACAGCGAGTAGGTAAGAAACCTTAGTCGCCAAAACTCTATGAAAACAGTGAAATTTCTCTAGACCGACTTTTTTCGGTCTTGCATAAAACACATGAAAACAGTGAATTTCCTTAAGATAGAAAAAATAAAGTTAGTTTTATTTTTATTTATTTTTTTATTTTGTATGTAAAGACAGATATGTCAACATCAGAGAACACAACAACTGCTATCGTTCATGAAGCCATAAATGAAGAATATGAGTACATACAGTTTAACAAACAGTTACGTCTCATTCGTTCGGTCAAAGACGATATGTACCAGATGCAAAGTATTTTGACGGCTTGTTTTGCTCCAGACACTAAGCTTCCTAAAGACTGGTTTAGGAACCAAAGCACCATTGAACTCTTAAGCGAAGCACAGCGAGACATACTTTTTTCTGAAAACAGTGAAGAACAGCGAGTAGGTAAAAAACCCCAGTCGCCAAAACTCTATGAAAATCGTGAAAAATTGCCAAATGGTTTGAGAGGTTGGTATGTACATAGACTTCTTGTAAATGCTGTTGCAATGTGGGCTTCGCCTCGTTATGCTTGGAATATTTACAGACTTCTTGACGAAATTCATAGACAAGAACGTGAAGAGCTAGAGAACAAGCTTGAAGCAAAAGACAAAAACATTCAGAAAAGAATACCACGTTCGGTACCAAAAGGTAAGGAAAAGAACTATAAGTATATGATTTATACTGAAGAGATGGAAAATGAAGAAGATAAAGATATGGTTATGTTGCATTTAGTCAGAAGAAACAACAAAAGCTTTTACGACCTTGCTAAGATTTACAAATCTGACAGAAATTGGTTCTATCGCGAAAACTTACCGATTTCAATGACCCCAAATGAAGATGTGAAACAAATAGTTCAAGATACGTTACCTCAAACACACTATGATATGAAAGGTTGTACAATACTTACATTCAAAGAAGATTTGCCATTGTTAAAGGAAAAAATAACAGAGTATTTTGACAACTTCAAACAAGTAGAGTAGATGAACCATTTATTTTTACGCTTGACTTCAGATGGCTCAGGTAGCTCTATAAAGTAAATTGCCTTGTCAAATCCTTCTGGCATTCCGAGTCCTTCCTTCCGACAGGAAAAAATTTTCCTTCCGACAGGAAAAAATTTTCCTTCCGACAGGAAAAAATTTTCCAGTTGTCCGTCCGTAAACCATTCAAATTTTCGAAAATTGAGAACTTTTTGGTCGAACTTCAGAAAAAATTTTTCCTTCCGACAGGACACAAACGGATGACTGACGTTCCTCTTCCTGAATGCCTTCCAAAGCCAGAAGAACCGACAGCCCCAGCACCACAACAGACTTACTAAGACTAAACACTTACATTTTTCAAGCTTGACTTTTTACAATTTGAACTTTGTTTGCGTAGATATGAATTCTGAAAGAAGTATGAGGGTCTTGTATGACTTTGTACTTCTCCCATAGTTCATGTCTGTCAAACTTACCTGCCATGGACTCTTTCATAAGTTCCATGAAATCGTCTTCGGACAATCCGGGGAAAAGTATAATGTCAGTAAGTATTCTTTTAACATCCTTACTTAAACTCTTTGCTGTCTGTACACAAATGACAACTGAAATGTTAAAGTGTCTGAGCTTCTTAAGAATTCGACACATATCTTGTTCTCTATTCTTTAACAAAGGATGAGAAGCAAAGTCATCTAAGATAAGAAGACATCTATGAGGGTAAGTCTTCCAATCGTAAGATTGCAATTTCTTCGAAATGTATTCTATCTCTTTCTGTTTGTTTCTGAAGTGTTTCTTCTCTAATATTCTCTGCATTTCCTCATTTGGGTCTTTAAACTTAGAATTTATATACTCATTTATAGCATTATACTTCAAAACTCTTCTTTGGTACTTCTTTATCCAATCTAACAACTCAGTATCCTTTATACATACTAACTTAGACTTCTTTATAATATCTTTGAACGAATTGACGGTTTGGTCAAATTGACCAGAAGTACTACAAATGACAACTAACTCATAGAATGGGTTCTTCTCATCTAGTTCTTGTTGTTGTGCAGCCATTTTAAGATAAGTGAAAGTCTTACCGACCCAGGTGGTGCAATTAGACCTGTTATACCATTCTGAGCAAATAAGAACTTGTCATGTATAGGCTTTATCTGAGCATTTTCTAACTTCCTCTTGTTCTTATTTAAAAACATTCTCAAATTTCTTGTCAATGTCAGCAAACTTTTTTTCTAACATATTTTTAGAAAAATTAAAATTTTTATCTTTTAGAAAAATGTCTAGCGATTTCGCTATCTATATTCGAGACAAGCTTTTCGACAGCAAAACATCTGTCGACCATAAAATCTTACATAGTGTAAACAAGAAAGGGGAATTTGTTCTAAAGTTCTGTTTCTGGGAATATGACAAGAACCATAAAACATTAAGCAGAGCAGTCTTAAAATTTGTCATGACAGACTTGTTGACAGAGATGACGCCGATTGGAAAGATGAAGTCCAACAAAAGTTCTTAGAATGCAAAGAAGACACATGCGCTGTTCTTGAAGATGAAATAGAAAACAGAATAGAAGAGCTATTAAAGGACAAAGAACTTTTACATAAATATAGTTGCGCCAAATTTGACATAACTCCACCAGAAAAGAAGAAGAAAGAGAAAAAAGAAGAAAAGAAAGTAGAAGAAGAGAAGAAAGAACCTGAACCAGTTCCAGAGAAAAAGAAATTTGACATGTAAAAATAAAATTTTATTTTTAGAACATTTCTGGGTCAATGTCAATGTTCTCTTCCTCTTTAGGAGTAAACACTGGCTTAGACTCTAAAATCTTTTTACCCAATTTACCTTGAACTTCTACAACTTTAGACTCATAATATTCATAGTCGTCTGCTTTCTTTGGTTCATAAGGTATAACAAGTTTTGTATGCTTTGCCTTCTTTAAGGTTTGAAAACCTTCTGTCAAAACTTTCTTTGACTGCTAACAAACCTTCTATGTCTAAGTCTTCAAATTTCGCACCATTTTTAGTCACAATAGCAAACTTAACTGGTTCGATGTTCCAAACTTTGCTGAATGAAGACTTTTCAAAATGGTAGAAGTAAACATTCAATATGTGAATGGGTCTAGTTCTTCTTTAAGTCCTGACATGTACTTGTTTACTGAGATGAATTTTTGCCATCTTTTCTATCGGATAAAAAAATATTTTTTTTAAAATTTACTCAGAAAAATTTTTCTTTGTATATACACCATTCTGTACGTCTAAAAGACTTTTGACATTTGCCAAGAATGTTCGTTTAGACGCTGTCATATAACCATATTCTTGACAATATGTTTATACGAATCGTACAATGACCTTTCATCTAATGACACAAAGTCAGTTTCATCTATGAACAGTTCATATACACTCTTGTTTGCTTCTAACAATGTTTGTCTCTCTTCGGTATGTGGAATTTGTCTTGGATTGAACTTAGAAATATTAATGTCATGAAATATGAGAACAAATGGTTGTAAAAGTCAGATGTCAAAGTTTCTGCTAAGTCGTCAAAATATTCTGTATCTTGCATATGAGAATCTGACGTTCTGACAACTACATATCTTCTGTCAGAACTTTCTAACTTCATCGGAACAGCATTGTTTGAAACCATAATGAAGTTTGCAACATTTTCACAAACTCTTTGGTCTTTATACTTTCTTTCAACAACTCCAACTTTGTCTGTTATAAGACTCTTCAAAGCATCTGAGTTCAAAACTTTTGTTGTATCTATACTTTGAAGTTCATTGCAAACTATAAGTTTCATATTCTCAATTGAAGAGTTAAATTTACCGCAGATGTTTTCTAAGTTTGTCATATTCGGGTTCGAATAGCCCTCTAACAGTTTGCACAAAATATCTGTAAAGAATGTGTTCTTACCAGTTCCTTGTTTTCCAATTATAATGAGAGCAGTTTCATTTTTAGCACTTGGATGTTGTAAGATGTTTGCAAACCAACATAAGATATACTCATAGACTCTTTCGTTTCCATTGCATATAATTTCTTTGACATGGTCTAACCAAGCTTCTATAATATTTTCTTTCCATTCTACTTGTTCATATTTATATCCAGTGAAGATAGAATAGAAGTTTGGAGAAGGTGTATAGAACTTTATACCTCGAACTGAAAAATCTTCTAACTTTGACAATAAGATATCCCAAGCATCTAACATCTTCATGCCAACTTGTACGACTTTTATTTTCTTAAGTTTCTGTCTACATTCTTGTTCTGAAACTATTGTCGCTTTAGGTTTGTTAAAGACAACAACCCATTCTTTCATGACATAACATTCTGGGGCAGAGTCGACATAAATGACTAAACGTTTCAAATTCTCGACTGCTTTGTTATAGTCTCGAAATGGACACATATTTCTGAATGCTTGGAAGTCATAAAAATCTGAAACATCTATTCTGTACATTTTTATAAAAATAAAAAAAATATTTTTTTTTATTCTTGACTTTGTTGTTGCATCTCAGGAGGTATTTCTTGCATTTGTTGCTGAGTTTGAGGCATTTGGTCTTGTAATACAATACCTTCACCGGTTGCATCTTCCAATTCTATACTTTCTGCTGTCATAGAAATATACATAGGACATAAAAGTTTTACGGGAACAAAGTTTGCGTCAACTAAGGTTAAGTTTATGTTTGCTAAAGTGTTTGAGTTTACTAAAGCTGAAAACTCTGCATTCGAATGAACAATAGGCAAACCAGCAGAGAATGTGTTATTTATACGCATAAGTATCTTTTGGTCATAATAGTTTCTGTCGACATTCGAATAACACTTTGAACTAAGTTTGAAACAATATATAAAATAGGTGTACTTAAAGTCAACGGAACAGACAAACCTTTTACAATATAATATCCATTATTCCATTCTGCTTCTATAGGAAATGTTTGGTTGTAAAACCCTGAAATAAGTTTTGCATTATAACTCATGTCATTTAAAATGAAAGGAAAAGTTCCAGTAAAGTTTATAGTTCCCGCATGTGTTATAGAACTTAAAATATTTTTATCTGGAAAAAGTTGGTTAAACAGGTCTACAAAACCACCTGGTGGTATTTCAGAATATGTATCTTCCCAATAGTATTTCATACCATTTAAAACAATATAGTCATCTGGAGTCAAAAGAGCAAAACATGCTTTAGTTGTCATTGTGTTTAAGGTTAGTTTACAATATCTTCCTTGAGGACTTTGAAGATATGTAGTTATAGAGTTATATGACTCAGGGTTCTTTGTTGTTATAGTATACAGAAGTATGTTTTCTGCCATTTACTTAGCAAATAAATTTTAATGAAATGTTGTGGTCGTCAAATATTTTTATGACGTCTGGGAAACTATACTTTAAGTTCAACGTTTCACCTCCTTTCATAACGTATATCTTGTCAATGACATTATATGAAACACCACAGCAACTAATGTCGGGTTCTATTTCTTTGATGTTTATATCGTCTGCCTCTGTCAAAAGTTTCAATAGTTCTTTCAAAACTTCATGAGGTGCAATGACATATGAGTTCACTTTTACAGGGTTGTGTTCGACCAAGTTTAACATTATACTTAAAGCTTGACAAATCTTCTCCTGAGTTTGAAGTTTGTCTTTCAGTTGTTGGTAGTCGTTTCGAATATCTGCAACAGAACTTAAGTCTCTGCTAACTTCAGGATATGTTGGTTGTTCTTTTACAGGAACAATTGTTATACCATCTTCGTCCTCGTATGGTTTCCCCACTTCAACATCTCTGTCTTTGACATTGACAACAATACTTTGACTGTTTGTTTGAGTTGGTGAATTTAACTTCACATCTGCCACCGCCATTAAACCTTTTGAAACACTCACGCTTCTATTTTTCGGAAATGACATTTTACTTAGAATAAAAAGATGGACGTATTCGGATATCTCTTCGAATTGAAGCAGAACAAAGTTTACACACACAAACAATACAAATACATTGACAGAATAGTTCTTTACACAAACAATGGAAAATGTTATAGAATAGCAGTCTTTGCTGAACCTAAATATTTTCATAAAGCAAAGAAAGTTGGTATAACTGAAATGGTGAAAGTTCTTGAAGCAGACAAAAATATAACAACAAAACTTACAGATATTTCTAAAGGTAAGTTTATCTTACAATATTATGTCAAAACTGGCGTACTGTCAATATTTGACGGAGAGAAGTCAGTTCAAGAACAACTTACTGACCTGCTGCCAAAATCTGCTCGATGGAAGCTGTCGTTATACCAATCTGAGGAGCCCCAGCAGGTTTCATCGAACGAATCTTCAAAAGAGCATCTTCCGTGAAAAGTGCTATTGGTTTTGTAAACTTCTTTGCTCTCAGTTCATCTGGACCGTCTCTGTCACCAGTATATTGTATTTGTACAGTACCAACAGTTGAAATACCACCCATAAAGTCTTCTGAGTCAGCAAATGGAATGCCAAGCCAAAAGTTTGAACGGTCTCCATTTGTATATTGAGTTTTTTGACCTCCTGTATGAGTCCATACTTTCACATATGGCATAATAGAACTTTGCATTTCAGGGTTAATGGTTGTTGTGAAATTGTTGTTAAAGTTCATAGCATCTAATGTCAAGTTGTATGACCTCATATCCTCAACTGTAGAATATTCTTCTCTTGGATAATATTTGCCATCTATGTTTATATGATATTTAATACCGGGGTTGTAGAAACAAGAATAGTCATTTATAGTTCGTCTGAACAGTACAAACATAGTATCTGCATGTTTCATTGCAGTTGTTAAAGCAATATCTGTTCTTGCACCTGGGTCAGCACTTTGGTTTCCAACTTCACCTGCAAAGTCTTTGACAGATATTTGGTGTATAGGGAACATAAGTGGAACTGCAATATATTTGGCAGCTAAAGCATTTGAAATATCTGGGTCCAACATATAGACTGCAAGTCTGCTTTCTATTCTCTTGCATTCAAACTTTTCGCATGTGAACTTAACTGGGTCCCAAGCAGTTCCAGCAGCATTGAAATAATAGTTTACTTCATTGTTGAAGTTTGAGAAACCAAAGTCTAAGTCAACTTTGTCTTTGCAAAAGTCACAGAACTTGGCTCCACCAGTTCCAGCTATAGTAATACTGAATGGGTCTTGTGTTGGTGCAATGACTAAGTTATTTTTGCTTGGAGTAAGTTCGATAGAAATTTTTCCTGCCCAGTTTGGCAAGTATCTTAAAAACCTGAAGATGAGGAAAGATGACAAAGGAACTCTAAGTTTCAGTTTTACTTTAGTGGCAGCAGTTCCATCTGAACCAGAAAGGTTAACATAAACTCCTGGAACGTTAGGGTCAAGTCTTCTTATTTTCTCAATATTTGCATACTGGTCTGTTTGTTCTCTAGCTTGTGGTTGTACTGAGTTTCTCAAAGCGAACCATTCATAGTTTGCCCATGTTACTGTTTGAACTAAGTCAGAGTTAGAATATATCTTATATCCCATGAAAACTTCTGGAGCATATTGGTATCCGACATAGAAAATTCCATTGCAACCTTTCTTGTCAGACAACTTGGCAGAAGGTTTTATTTCAATGTCTTGTTCCACGTATAAGAATGAGTTGTCAATAGAAATAATATGAAACCTGTCGCAAGCAATATCTACTGTTGTTGAAGAACCTTCTCCAAACTCACCTACGTTTCCATAAGAAACAGCAGTTGTATATTCGTAAGTTCCAGGAACTATTTCTGACCTTCTAATGGCATTGTCGCATTCGTTATACCATTCGGAAACATTTCCGTTCATGGCATCCAAAACTGTTGGCGTTATATTCTGAGCGGCGTACATTTCATATGGGTAAAAATATAGAATAGTTGGATTTATTTGTCATAATAGAACCCACGCGGACCAAGCTTTACTTTCTTCCTGACTGAGTTTTTAACTCTTCTTTTTCCTTCATTGCCACTACTTTCACTAGATGAAGTAACTTCTTCACTACTTTCACTTTGTTCTACTCTTCTTCTTTGGTGTCGCTTTTGGTAACTTGCCCTCTGCTTCAAGTTGTTGCATCTTTGCCTCATGTTCACCTAGTATGTTGTAAATTTCCCATGTCCTTTTTGCCTTTGGGCTCTGGTCGCCCATCTCAGGTAACCTATATCCTAGAAAGATTTTGTCATAGTTTGTATTTGAGTCTTCGCGTATTGTTTGCATGACTCTTTCCTGAGTTTCCGGTTCAAGCTCTTCAAACAGAGCTTGTCCATATGGAATAAGCTCGTTTCCAAATATATGTTTTTGTAGCCATTCTGGTTTCTTTCCATGTTACCAATAATATCTTTTGTGAATGGGAAAGCTTTTACCCCCAATGTTTCAGTCTTGCGTCATTTATTTCTGTAGTTGGTTTTATTTTGTCAAGGAATATGTTTTTCAATACTAACATTTCATTTGGTACTGTCCATTTGAGTTTTCTTAAATATTCATCCATTCTCGGTTCATTGTCTGCAAAGTAAGTTTTTTATGACATTTTGCAAACTTTCGTTTGCAAGGTCATGTACAATAGGTTCTCTTCCTTCTCTCTCCCTAACTTTCTTTCTAAACTCTTCACCAAATATACCATCTCTATGTTCTGTGTAGTTCTTTGAGATAAATGTTCTAGAACGTCAGGTGTTATATTTCCATCAGCCATGTTCATTTCATACTGGTTCAAAATATCTGCATCTTTCATATCTTTCAATGGCATTAAAGCCGCGCTGAAAATACCAGCTATATCTGGTTCACCATTCACTTCCATTGCGTCTACAACTTCTTGGAATTGTGGTTGTAAGTTTATGAACCACCTATCCGGATTAGCTTTATGACCCCATCTCATTGTAGTTCCATAGTCTGCAGAAACAAAAGTAGGTTTGTTTCCATATTGGTTAGGTTCTGAATGAACTTTAAACAATGTTTCATTTCTATATGTTTTGGTGAAATTTTAACCTTTTATTTTCACCGAGTTCAGCCAAAGATTGAACGTTATATGGTCGTAAGTAAAAAGGATTGTTGTATTTGCGTACACTTTTCTTTCAGTTCTTCCATTCTATGCTGAATATTTTCATCTGATGTTGGAGTCTTTTGTATGTCGGGCGAACATTTTTCGATATTCTTCTACTATGTCAGCCGAATTTTTCTTAGACTCTTGGAAAGATTCCATATTCTCCGCATACTCTTGTTGAGGGTCAAGATTTTTCGGCTGTTCCAAATCTTCATCTAGTTCTGTGAAGTTAGTTTCCAAAGGAGGGACTTGTTCGTTTCCTTCAGGCTCTTCTAGCTGTTGTTGCTGAACTATTTCTTCCATGTCTGGTTGTATCTGAACTTCTTCCTGTTGAGTTTCTTGTACCTTCTGCTGGCATTTCATATATTCCGAGACCGTTTTTAACAAGTTCCCTATCTAAGTCATCCGGACTCATAACCTTTCTTCTTTCGTTCCGTCTCTATTT